AAACAAACTTTCTTTTTCATTTATTGATTTTTTTTATTTTTATTTTTTATTTATTTTATTGTAGTTTTTGTTGTGGTTGTTGTTTTTGTTGATGTCAAAGTTGAACCGTTGAAAATTGTTCAACTAAGAGAGAAAGAAGAAGAAAAGAAGAAAATGCAGCACAATATATTTGCTTCAATGCGTAGTTTAAAGATCATGGACGGTTGCAAAGGCTCTCAGGTTTACTCTATACACAACCCTTCTTCCTCCACCGGCACCGGCACCGGCGGAGGAGGAGTTGGTGAAAAGATTCTTCAACAGCTTCACGATCATATTAAAAGTCAAACATTTCGAAGCAAATCGGTTCATATTTTTCAATCACCTAACCGGACATCATCCGAGGTTGTTGTTGAAGGTTCAGGTTCTCTTCTGCCTTATGGACTTCCTATGACGGATATATTGGAGCCTAGAATTGATCCTGTTTTGAGGCCGGTTGATTTCGTGGAAAGGTTGACTGCTTTGTATAATAAGATTGAGAGTTGTTCGGAGTTTGATAGGTCTGAGGTTTATTTGGAGCATTGTTCGGTTTTTAAAGGGTTGTCTGATGCGAAATTGTTTCGTAAGAGTTTGAGGTCAGCGCGACAGCATGCTGTTGATGTGCATACGAAAGTCGTGCTGGCCTCGTGGCTCAGGTATGAGAGGAGGGAGGACGAGCTGGTTGGTTCGTCTTCGATGGATTGTTGTGGTAGGAATATTGAATGTCCTAAGGCTGCTTTGGTGGCGAATGGGTATGATCCCGAGTTGGTTTTTGATGTTTGTTGTTGTTCTCGCGAGCTTCAGCTTGAGGTTGTTGAGGATGAGGATGAGGATGAAGAAGAGGAGGATTTTATGACATTTGTTGGTCAACAATGCTCTACCTCGTATGAGGATGATGAAGATTGGGATATGGCATTTTGTATTGGTGATGAGGAGATTAGGTGTTGTAGATTCAATATGGCTTCGCTTTCGGTCCCGTTTAAGACAATGTTGTATGGTGAGTTCGTAGAATCGAGGAGGGGGAAGATAAATTTTTCAAGGAATGAGGTTTCTGTCAAGGCAATGAAGGCTGCCGAGGTTTTTAGTAGGACGAAAAGTTTGAGCACGATTGAACCTCGTGTGGTCTTGGAGTTGCTTTCTTTAGCGAACCGGTTTTGTTGCGAGGAGATGAAGTGTGCTTGCGACGTGCATTTGTCGTCGCTCGTTTGTGACTTGGAAGATGCATCGTTGCTCATTGAGTATGGACTTGAAGAGACGGCGTACCTTTTGGTTGCGGCTTGCTTGCAGATTTTTCTGAGGGAGCTACCCGGTTCGATGCAGTGTTTGAGTTTTGTGAAATTGTTTTGTAGTCCGGAGGGTAGGGATAGGCTTGCTACTGCAGGGCATGCGTCGTTCGTGCTTTATTATTTCTTGAGTCAAGTTTCCATGGAGGAAGAGATGAGGTCAAACACAACCGTGATGCTGTTGGAGAGATTAGTCGAGTGTGCAAAAGACGGATGGGAGAAGCAACTAGCATTTCATCAATTAGGCGTTGTTATGTTTGAGAGAAAAGAATACAAAGATTCACAGCACTGGTTTGAGTCAGCGGTGGAGGCAGGGCATGTTTATTCATTAGTCGGAGTTGCAAGGGCAAAATACAAACGAGGTCATACATATTCGGCGTATAAGTTGATGAACTCGCTTATTAGTGATTATAAACCCGTTGGATGGATGTATCAGGAAAGATCTTTGTATTGCATTGGGAAGGAGAAAATGATGGACTTGATCTCTGCAACCGAATTAGATCCAACGCTTTCGTTTCCTTACAAATACCGAGCCGTTTCTTTACTTGAGGAGAACAGGATTGGACCTGCCATTGCAGAAATAAACAAAATAATCGGTTTCAAAGTTTCTCCTGACTGCCTTGAATTGAGGGCTTGGTTCTTAATAGCCATGGAAGAGTACGAAGGAGCACTTAGAGATGTTCGGGCTATTTTGACGTTGGATCCGAATTATATGATGTTCTATGGTAATATGCACGGCAATCACTTGGTACAACTACTCGGTCCTGTTGTTCAACAGTACAATCAGGCAGATTGCTGGATGCAATTGTACGACCGCTGGTCCTCTGTCGATGATATTGGTTCGTTGGCTGTTGTACACCAGATGTTGGAAAATGATCCAGGGAAAAGTCTTTTGTGTTTTCGCCAATCTCTCCTTTTGTTACGGTGAGTGAAATTGCGCATTGCAGAACAACAATGTTAATTAGTCTCTTATAACTTGCGAGTGTTGATTTTCTTCACAGGCTAAATTGTCAAAAGGCAGCGATGCGTAGTTTGCGGCAGGCTCGAAATCATTCGACTTCTGACCATGAAAGGCTTGTCTATGAAGGATGGATACTCTACGACACTGGTCATCGTGAAGAAGCGTTAGCAAAGGCCGAGGAGTCCATTTCTATTCAAAGATCATTTGAAGCTTACTTTCTCAAAGCTTACGCATTAGCCGACACAAGTCTCGATTCGGAGTCTTCGAAGTATGTTATCCATCTCTTGGAGGAAGCTCTTAGATGTCCTTCAGATGGTCTTCGGAAAGGACAAGTAAGTGTGCTGTTATTTTAAAGTAAGCACTCGTTTTTCCGATACTGAAGTAGCGTACTTATTATTGTCATTTTTTTGAATCGTAGGCACTAAATAATCTTGGAAGTGTCTACGTAGATTGCGATAAGTTGGACCTTGCAGCTGACTGCTATATGAGTGCACTCAACATCAAGCATACACGAGCACATCAGGGCTTGGCACGAGTATATCATCTTAAAAATCACCGCAAAGCCGCATATGATGAAATGACAAAGCTAATAGAAAAGGCTTGGAACAGCTCGTCAGCTTATGAGAAACGGTCGGAATATTGTGATCGTGACATGGCAAAGAGTGATCTTAGCATGGCAACCCAGTTGGATCCCCTAAGGACTTATCCTTACAGATATAGGGCAGCAGGTGAGTCATATATGATATATCAATGGTTCTATAATAATATTCTGTATTTTTATTCGGTTTGCGAGATGAGCTGTGGCTCTGTAAATCCGTTTTGTGTGTTTCAAATATTTGTTGTTGCATTTGTTTTTCGATGTCGTGCTATTATGTTCTGACTTGGAATCTCTGTACCAGTTTTAATGGATGATCATAAGGAAGCAGAAGCAATTGCGGAACTTTCGAGAGCCATTGAATTCAAGCCGGATCTGCAACTGTTACATCTTAGAGCAGCGTTTTACGATTCAATGAATGATTTCGCTTCTACTATCCGAGACTGTGAAGCAGCCCTTTGTCTTGATCCTGGCCACCCCGAGACTCTTGAGCTTTGTAATAAAGCACGGGAGCGGATTAAGGAACAAAAGTAAGAAAACCTGAGATTAAAAAGAATCCATGTTTTTCCCGGGTGTTCCCCGTGGACACAAGCCTATTCTTGCCAAACTGTACTTTTTCTGAAACACGAAGGACCGGTAATCATCAATGTCATTTAGCGTATGTTTGAATTGACGCCGAGTTTGACATGATCATAGTGTCAAACGGATGGTCTATATCTTTTGAACTGTGGCCTTCTGGAAACAGGACTACAGAAAGGTTGAAAACTCGTTTCGGTCGAAACAGAAAGGGAAAGTAGAGGAGCAGAATAACTTGTAAATATATGTAACGGCAGCTTGTGTTTTTGTCCGACGATGCTTAAGTAGTAGTGCACGCAGTTGCGTTATGCTCGACTTCGTGCCACATCAGCGAGAATGATGAAGTGTTCCGTTGTTAGACAAAACATGTACATGAAAAATTCAATTTATGCAAGTCCAAGATTTAGATACTTACTTATTTTGGCTGAGCAATTGTTTATTCATATTCTGTTGTAACATTTTGTCACTCTGTTGTATAAAACAAAAGTTTTGCTGTGACGAGTTCTTTTTGGAAACGCTATATCCATACCTACTTATTTTTAAGTTTTCTGTTTTTGAAGTGCTTATATCCTCTATATTTTATATCTTGTAAAATGTTGAACATGTAGTACTCAACTAGACAGAGACCAGTGTTGTCAAATAGCGACGAAATTTGAACAAGTTTCATTATTGTACAAAATGTTGTCGAATAGTTGACTTAGAACTGATAATAAATATGGTTTAAGTTAGCCTAACTCCCTACAAAATCGGCTTGTAGACTAAGAAATGTGGTTTTGTTCTAACTCACTACAAATTGGTCTGTAGGGTAAGGATTGTTCTCACTTATATATATTGTCTGATGTGAGATTCTTAAAATATTCCATCACGTCTAGGACTGGATATCTGGAGCGTGAAAATAAATGGTAGGTGACTTGATAGTAGAAATCTGATAGAAGGTGACCCGTCAGATCTTAAACCAAACTTGATACCATATTAAGAAATGTGGTTTAAGTCTATCTCATCTCTATAAAACCGGTTTGTTGGGTGATGATTGTCTTTACTTATAAACACATACATGTTCATGCTATATATTTTACGATGCGAGACTCTTAACACGTGTCAATTGAGACGAGGACGACCGACCAGCATAGTCTATGGCTGGCATTCTTAAACATGTACTTTCCTTTTATAACCTACTCATTTTTCAACCTGGTTTCTTTATTGAGGAGTGAGATTAAACATAAGGGGAAATAGAAAAAGAAATGTAGAAAGGGACTGCAATTTCACATTCTGATAAAGGTAAAGTTCAAATTATCTTTTATAAGTTCTTGCTCCTTGTTTATGTGTTGGTCTCTTCCCACGTGGAGGTGCTTTTTCAACAAACTTGTGACCACAAAAGCAAAACCTTAATTTTAATTATTCTCACGAGATTCCCATATTTCCAACTACTACTATTTATTCCTCCAACAAACTAGTTGTGATATCTTCTCTAATATCAATTTTTACAGATCTTTTCTCCTAAAGTTTATCTCAGATACTGAATCTAGTCTCTTGACAAAGAAGTAACAGAAGTGGTTTTCAGAATTGAACCATGGATCATTCGAAACGTCATAGAAAGTTAAACTTAAACGCACCAATCATGTCTACAAGGCGTTTTGGTTCTGTCGTTGCAGACACATCAAGTTCATTAGGTACATTTCAGAACACGAGTGAAAGAGTTCCGTTTTCGTGGGAGAAAGAACCAGGAAAACCGAAAGATACGGAGAGGAATGGCTCAAAAATAGCACCCTGCCATCGTTTGTTTCCGCGAAAAGAAGCAGCAGAAGCGGAAGATCAATCTGATATACTAGATAATGCTTGTGATGAGATGGATGACAAAGATGATCTTTTCTCAGATGCTATGGATGATGTGTTTTCTTTATCAGAAGCATTGGATATTGTTCAAAGAAAATCAGAGAAAGCTCATAGTGATATCAACAGTGGATTGAAACTAAAGCTTGCAGAGTGTAACGGCTACCAATCTCCTACTTACCTGATCAACCGTTTTCTTCCCGACGCAACCGCTTTGGCTGCATCGTCGTCTGCTCTACAATTTCATAGTGATTTCGCGGAGAAAGTTTGTGATTCTTGTAGTTATCCAGAGTGCTATTTATCTGAATCAGGTAGACATTCACATTCATATGCTTATGCTTCTGGTTCTTCTTCTTCATCTCCAAAGGGCTGTGGTCTTGAAGTTCTCTTCCCTTGGAGAACTGTGAAGCACAAGTTTTGTGCTGTAGAGAGCCCTGTTCTGCCATGCTCCACGGCTACGAATCTGCCGAAAACTCAGCGTGACTCGAGACAGAAGAAACATCGGTCGTCAGCGTACATTCCTTGCACAAATGTGAAGAAAGATGTTTGATGAGTTGAATCGAGTCGAATCGTTTGTTTTTCATTTTCGTCTAGACCCTCCGTATAATTTAAGTTAAACCAAGATGCAAAGTTCTTATAATGCTATTTTTTTTAGTCAAAGAGAGAATCAAATTGTTAAACGAATGAGCCGTTAGTCTAACTAGTTCTTTTATTTGTTCATTTTATATATATTAAATAATTTTTGTATGTATAAATATTATATTTGATTTAATTTAAATGCACTTGTTATAATATGAAAAATGCTATAGTAAATTTGTTTTATTTAATTAAAAGAACAAAGTCTACAATTTGATGATCACTACTCAATATTATGAGAACATCATCTTTGACAAGCTTTGAATTTTATAGGACCCTTGTAGGCATTGCACACATAAATTGCAAGATCATCCTGTAGAAAAGAATAGAGGTATTAATAAGGGAGAGAAAAATATAAAAGTATTCAAATAATTAAATAATAAAATAAGTAAAATGTTACTAACATTAGCAACTACATTTTGGCCATTCACAACAAGCCAAGGTGTGTGACTAAGAGGTGGGTTTAGTCCATTTGTTTCTTTACCATTGCGTATATGAAGCTGCAAAATATCAAAGAGAGTTTCAGATCAATATTTATACAATTAAAGAATTTTAAATTATTTCTGAAGAATAAGTTCAGTTGATAGTTATATAGAGACATCATATATCAAATATCATATATCAAATACGAGGGTTTAAATCTGTAACATCAAATTTAAAGAAAGTTATAAGTTGAAAAAAACTAACCTGATTTCCATGTCCACTTGAATAACAATTTTGAATGAGTTTTGAGTCCAATCTAAGACTGTTGGAGCATGATTGCCATAAATTTGGGGTTCTACTTGTAAATAAACCATTCTCAACACAAAAGATGAATGGCAAGCTAAGTTTCTTTCTCAAATTTACACATAGATCAAGCACAAAGAAAAGTTTGTTAGACATAGAAGAAATCTCATTTACATCATAGTAATTTTTTTTAGTAATTATGCAAAAAAAAAATTTGTTTATTGAAGAAAATTCTTACCATTGACCAAGCTTCAATAGCACATGCTTCTATGATGTTATAGTAGCATTCATCAGGACCATGCTACAAATATAAACAAAAAAAAAGTCAAAAATGTATATAAAAGTAATTATTTATAACTCGATATACTTTTAATTAATTAAAAGAGTAATTAAAATATATAGTTTTTATTTGGATGATAAAAGCCATGACATCTAGTTTAATGAAAAAAAAAAAAGAATTTCTGTTGAAAATATGAATAGAAGATAATGCTAGAAGGATTAAGAAAGGAAGGGAATTTGGGACCTGGCAAGAAACGGTTCCATTTTGACTTGTATCAGCATTGCCATAGGGAACCAAACGGAGGCTAACAACAGACATGACATCTAGTTTAATGAAATTCTGAAGACTTTTCAAAATGAAATCTTTGCTATATGGACACAAAGATTCATAATACAAAGAAACTTGGACAACATCATTTGCACTATTTTTCAACTCAGAAGAATGAGATTGAGATGGATTCATGTTCATCAAAAGAAAAATAATCAAAGAGAGGAAGTAAAATGAAGTTGGTGAGGCCATTTCTATGTGCATATAATTTGATATCTTGGGGGTGTCTCTCTATGAGTCTAAAGGGTTTATATAGTACTAGTACTATTACTCTATTTTTGACTTTACATGTTATTAAGATGCCATTGACCAAGTTTAAAAGAATTCAAACAAAACTATTTTTTCATTAAATGTGTCAATAAATGTGTATTTTATTTCTTGACCAAAAAAAATGTGTATTTTATTTAAAAAAATATATCTTTCAATAAATCGGAGAAACAAACAAAATAATTATGCTGATTTATAGTTGATATATAGGCTTAATATTATAAAATTTAGTATTTTTTATAATATATTTATTTATTTTATTAACATAAATTCTTAAAAATATTTTTTCTCTCTTATTGGAGCTATAAAATATTATTGACAAACTACAATTGATTAAATAATATTTAAAAGTATAAAAATGATACTTTTGAGTTAAATCAATAATCTTTGTTGACAAATATCACATGTTTCTTAAATATATATTTATCAAATACTATGTATTACATATAACAATGAATAGAGGTATAAATAAAATATATAGATAATACATATTATTATATATTACTTTGAAAAAATTTGAACATTTTAAAAGTAAAAATATGAAAAAAATAATATATTAAATAATAAATAGAGAGATAATGATTATTAAAGAAGATAAGAAAGAAAAGTTGAAAGAGAAAACAAAATATTAAAACATGAAAATTAAGACAAAGAAGACAAATAAAAAATAATACTAGTTTCGGAAAAAACAATTGTCAATATAATTATTATAATATTTCTTATATAAACTTTTTTTTTATTGTTTAACCGAGAATACTTCATTGATTTTTTTAATTACTAAATCTTTTGATCACGCGTGAATCCAAACTATTTTGATATATAATTATATGGTCATGTTAATGAGTGTTTTTTAGGGATGTTTTTTAAAATTTTAAATAAAGAAAATATTTTTTTAAAATTAATTATTTTAATTTCTAATACATTGAATATATTTTTTTTTAAATTGTTTTTTAAAGTTTTTAATGAGTGTTTTTGAAATACTTGTTAGTACTTTTCATAATTATATTAATAAGATACGCGTGCAATGACTTGAGTAAATTTATTTAATATTTTGATATAAATTGTATTTAGATATTAATATAAATTTAAAATATATTATTTAATTATAAAATGATTAATAATAATATAAATTTAATTATATTATATAATTATATAAAAAAAATAATTCGTGAAATGAAAAAAAAGAAAATAAATTTTGACACTTAAAAATAATACTTATGTTTTAAATAAAGACAATTATTATTTATAATAAAATATATATCCAACTGAAAGTGATAAGTGAGAAAAAGAGAAATTTGAGTTTTGAAAATAATTTTTTTTGTCTCAATTAAATACAATCGTTAATTAAAGTAAAATAGATATTTTGTTAATAATGACCCGTAAAAAAAAAAAAGAATTTCTGACATTTAAAAATAAGAATATCATGTCTCAAATAAAAATAATTGTTAATTAAAATAAAATAAATATTTTACTTAAAGTAATTTGTAAGATGGAAAGTTAGTTGTGAATCCGACTATTGATTATTATTCAATTTCATAAAATAAAATTTCAGTTTTATAAAAATTTAAAAATAAATTAATTTATATTTTTAATAATAAATAAATAAATAAAATTAATTAAATATATAGTAAAAATAAAACTAAATATTTAGTACAATAATCATATACTATAATGATATATATTATTATGTTACAAATAATTTTTAATATGCATAAAAAGTATTAAAATACTTTATTTCATTGGTAATTTTAAAAAAATTATATACTTATTTTGCTGATTGCATTTATTTTACAAATATAATAAAAAATAACATATTTTAAAAAAATAAAATGAGCTAGATTTATCTATATTTAAATCTGAGATTTTTTAATTTAGTTGTTTTATTTCTTTGTAATCATATGTGATATGTGTTCTTTTGGTTTGTTTTTATATTTACTCATATATTTTTTGTTTCTTCATTTATATTGTTCATAAATCTGAAAAACAAAAATAAGTTAATAGTTATAAAAAGTGTAAAGTATTTTTTTTTCACTCATGTTCTTTTGTTTATTTTTCTCTTTCTTTATGTGTTTGTATGCTTCTTCATTTGAATTATCGATTGATTTGAAAAACAAAAAAAAATTAATAATTATGTGAAAGATAGAAAAGATAAAATAATAAAATTAAAAGAGGAAATTTTTTTTAAAAAAAGAGTTTAATTTAAAAAAAATATATCGAGTAAATAAGTGGGAAATAAAGAAAAAAGTGAGAGTTAAAAAAATTTCAAGTAAAAACTTGACACTTACAAGTATTTGATTGAAGTAGATTGAATTAATTAAAAGATTAATTTTATACTATTTTAACTTTTTATAAGTATAAATAATTTTAAAATGAATGATATTATTGATAATTTGCATGTATATTTTATGGAAAATACTATTTAGTATGAAGAGGATAGAAAACGAAAAAAGCAACGAAGGTGATATGCTTAACATATAATAGCAGCACCCCCTTGATTCCGAATAAATAACATTTGAATTATTGACCAGCCAACCTTCGTATTATTTAGCAGTGCTAATATTTTATTAATAGATATATAGTTGATTTAGTATTTTTATAAAATATTTATTTATTTTATTAAAACAGAAATTCTTAAAATACTTTTCCTCTTTTATTGGAATTATAAAATAGTAATGTTGTTAAATTATAATTCGATTGTGTCGAAAAAGATTAGATTTGTTTTAGATTTAAATAAGATTTGATTTAGATCTAAAATAGAATAGATTTGATTTAGTACCAAAATATGTATTTTGGACTTTTATAGTTTTGGACTTATAGCAAGTTAAATCTATAAATAGAGGGAGTAATCCTTATTTTGTAATCAAATCAATTAAATTGTATTCACAGTAATTTGCAGTTGCAATTGAATAACAAAGTTTTTCACAGTTTGTGGACAGGGAGAAACTCTGCAGAAAATAATTGTCTTCTTTCTTTTCTTGTTTTTATCATAATTCATTGTCATTGAAGTAGAAATTCATCATAGATATTTAGTGGATTTCCAACATCTGGTATCAAGAGCTCGATTGCGATTCAAGGGAAGTATCAATCAAGAACGATTGAAGAATTCACGATGGCAAATTATGGGAATGTAAATTATTCAGCAACTCTACCAATTCTGAAAGTAGACAACTATGAGAATTGGTGCAAGCAGATGAAAGTTTTATTCAGGTGTCAAGGCCTTTGGGATCTTGTAAAAGATGGATTCGAAGCGCTTGGAGAAAACGCTTCAGAAGAAGAAAAGAAGAAACACGCAGAAATTGAGAAGCTGAGTTATAAAGCACTCTTTATAATTCATCAATGTGCGAGTCCAGAAAATTTTGAAAAAGTAAGTGATTCAAAATCTGCAAAAGAAGTTTGGGATGTTCTCGAGAAGTCCTTTGGTGGTGCAGAAAAGGTGAAAGAAGTGAGATTACAAACTCACAAGAGAACGTGCGAATTGCTTCAGAAGAAGAAAAGAAGAAACACGCAGAAATTGAGAAGTTGAGTTATAAAGCACTCTTTATAATTCATCAATGTGCGAGTCCAGAAAATTTTGAAAAAGTAAGTGATTCAAAATCTGCAAAAGAAGTTTGGGATGTTCTCGAGAAGTCCTTTGGTGGTGCAGAAAAGGTGAAAGAAGTGAGATTACAAACTCACAAGAGAACGTGCGAATTGCTTCAGATGGAAGATAGTGAGAGGATATTTGATTTCTTCACTAGAGTTACAAAACTAGTGAATCAAATCAAGTTATGCGGAGAAATATTAACAACAAAAGCTGTTGTTTCGGAGATCTTGAGATCTTTAGCTCCTAAGTTCGACCACATAGTGGTGGCGATAGAAGAAGGGAAAGACTTGTCGAAATTGAGAAAGGAAGAGCTTCAAGGAACGCTTGAATCTCATGAACAATGAATGAATGAATGAATGAGCTACAGGAAAATCGAAGAGTGATGTGGCCTTGCAGGCATATTCAGTAAAATAAATCAAAGGCAAAGGAAAATGTTTCGATAGAGGTAGAGTCAACTACAACAAATCGAATGGTAGAGGAAACCAGAACGAAGAAAACTCTTCGAATCAAAGAAGACCACACCAAGGCAACTAAAGAGGCGGTGTTGCAAATAGAGGAAGACGTGGTGGTCGAAAACCTGATAAGAGTCACATTCAATGTTACAATTGTCAGAAGTATGGTCACTGTTCTGGACTGGGCCTGCCCTTGGCCCAACCACCAATAGGGCCCAATCCAAGCTTGCCAACCTACTGCGCTGAGCAGTATAACTACCGAGCACACCCCGATCATAGGTATCTGGTCGGCTATGATTGCTTCCCGCTGGTGCTCGCGAAGAATGTCCCTGATGAGCACGCGCTTCCTCCGAGCACCCTCCTCGTAGGGCTGACTTTCAACCTCTCTGGATTTTATGGAGTCTTCATGGTCCCGGAAAGATGGCGTCTTTATCCTCCCTGTCTTGCAGAGGGCGTCATCCAGGTAGGGGGCCACGTGCGGGTCCCCACTACTCACGTAGAACCTGGCAGTCTCTTTGTTGGGCCTGTTTGATCAGCCCAATAAAGAGACCTTGGCCCAGCGCTGGGAGCTATAAATACCCTCTCTTTCGAGAGGGTCAAGTATTCATTCATTCACACCTACATTCATACTTGATTGCTCATTCTGTCTCTCACTTTTCCATTGGAGTGTCTTGCAGGTACCCCCATCTCCTTCAAATCCATCCCGAAGTCAATTGTGATGGTCCAACTCTGATCAGGTCAGATCAGTGGCGCTGTCTGTGGGAAACTAAGCTTCCCCGTCTTCTCTCCATTTAAAAGACCAAAGCTAATAATCCTCGACTGTCATGGCTGACCAAACTCAAGATAACCAGAACGTCCGTGTCGTCGACGTTAACAACAACATCGCCGAC